CGCCCGGGAGGGGCGGGGCAGGGGCGCGCGCCGCATCCCCCGCCCGTCGCCCCAGTCCCGGCTGCGGAGCCCCGCGCGCCAGTCTTTGCCCGAGGGGCACTCACAGGGATGCCGGCGTGTCCGGCGCAGCCCTGCCGCCTCCCCAGGCGGAGAGGCATGAGCGGATGGAGCCGGGGCCTGCGGACTAAGTGGGTAGATTCGAACGGTCCCGCCCGCCCCGGGCGTTTCTGCGCGAGCTCGCTCCACCCAACGAGGGCCTCAGGAATCTTGGGTCAGGATCTTGGTTGCAGATCCGCGGCAGAAAACCATTTTAGCGCCTTCTTGCTAAGTGAGAAACCCAGCAGCTTGCTTTCCTTGAGTTGATGCTTCTCTGGCAAGTTGGCAAAATTTGATGCACCGTCAGGTCAACTTCGAGAGGGCAAGGCTGCTTATGGTCGTCAGCAGTTCTAAGTCCTGCTTTGTATTTACTGTTGTCCTGTGTGTGTTCGCTGCCATGTTCCTGTAGCCTCCATTTATAACATGGACTAAACCCAAGCACAAAATCTAGTAGGGGTTTCCGTTTTGGCCTTTGGTTCTGTTACCCAAATTTAAAACAATTAAGTTCTGAATAGTAGTTTCTGATTTAGATCTAAGTTGTAATGGTAAAGTGGAATGGCAATAAGCCTCCCCATTCCCCTTCTCCCTTGAAGTCTTGAGATTCCCTTGGATGGGTTTTAGGGGCTCTGGAGGCCTTAAACTCATGTGCAAAATACTGTGGCTTATATGTATTTTCTGGAGTTAAGTCCCTTAGCTTTTATCATATTCTCAAAAGGGTTTAAGACTCAAATTTTAAGATTTAAAACAGCAACACTGTCAGGGGAGCTAACACTTGGGAGTTGAATTGTAGTGAAACTCCTAGTTATCCTGTGTTAATGGATGTTGTATTTTGACGATAGTCTACATGGGTTACCAAATTTCAAGTCACAAAATATACAAGAGAAGGTCACATGGAGCGTCATTTTCCTCCGAAGATTCAGATGGCACTTTAGAATTTTGCATGCCTCAGGTGCCAGAGCACCAACTGCTTTTGGATTCCCCAGCAATCCCTCACTTTTGAATGTGCACCATATTCCTACAGAGCTGCCGCCATGGCAGTCAGGTTAGGAAACCTGGATCAGAGATCCCATGGTTCCCAAGACTGAGGAGGACAGACTTGCCTAGAGTATTCAATAACCAGAGCACTCAGGTCATTATCAGCTGAAGGGAGAGTGCTTACTGAGCCTTGCTCTCCTAACCCCAAATATCTTAATCCATTCAACTCAGGAGTAAATTATTTGTTGTTTTTCATTTCAGTTTGTTATATTGCCTGAAATTCTGCTAATGAGAACTACAAATGAACAAAGCAAATATGTCAGGAATGTGATTGCTCTTTCTTTGGTATAAATTCTTCAAATAAGATTCCATTCAAGGAAAGGGGATAGATGTTTTCAAGAAAAGTTGAGGCAGAACATGGATTATTTTGGGTACTTACGGTATGCTTTGTTGGGAAGGGCTGCAGTTCTGCATCCCAATTTATTTTTACTATTTTATATCGCTGGGTATCTGGACAGAGTGATAGGAGGATAACAAAAAACTATATAGTGATTTTAATGTATGTCCACAAATTCTGATACTCATCACATGCAGAGGTAGAGCTTAATCTCCCTCCCATTGAATGTGAGCTTCTCTTAGTGAATACCATATGGCCTACAATGAATAGAATATGACAATAGTGACAGTGTATGACTTAAAAGACTAGGTCATAAAAGGCACTGCAGCTGCCTGCTTGTTCTCTCTTGGATCACTTGTGCTGCGGAAGCCAGAGTTACCATGTCACGAGGAACTCAAGCAGCCCCGAAGAAAAGCCCAGGTGATGAGAAATGGACACCTCCTGCCAACAGCCATGTGAATTAGCCATACTGGAAGCAGATGCTCCAGCCCCAGGTAAATCTTCAGATGATTGTAGCCCAGGAGATGTTGACTGAAATCCCAGGAGAGATCCTGAACAGAACCACCCAACTAAGCTGCTCCCAGATGACACACAGAGACTGTGAGATAATAATGTTTATTGTTTTAATATGGTAAGTTTGGGGATAATTTGTTACAAAGCAATAGATAACTAATACACTCAATCTCAACTTGCCTCTGTACCAGGAAATACAGTTTTTATTTTATCACATGGGCCCTTGTTCCTGGGCCTGTCCTTGGGCTAGTGGCATGATTTCTATCGTTGAACTTTAAAATGGTCCGAATAGGGGCACCGAGGTGGCTCAGTCATTACGTGTCTGCCTTCGGCTCAGGCCCTGATCCCAGGACCCTGGGATCGAGTCCCGCATCGGGCTCCCTGCTC